TGTTTCTTCATTTTTATTTTTGGACTATGATTGTAAATCTCACAGATTCATTCAGCATAATATGTCTCCTCATGCTCGGATCGGCATCACAATGGCTTGAATGCAGTTATACAGTTATAGATTAAGCGCATCTGTGGACTGCGAAACAAAGTGAACTTCAATAAAAACCTTATATACAAATCCATGGATGTCTAAATGTGACGCTGATGCTTGACAAAACATTTGGTCAGGTCTTTTTGTTGAATTGTTTTGTGGTTACCTGATGAACAAAATTAACTGAGATATCTAGTCAGTCAGTAACCAGCACTTCACATGGTTTAATCCAGTAGTCTAGTGGCTGGATATTATACCCTCCCCCTCTGTGACAATCAATCACTCAGGATAACCAGGCCACTTAGCGGATGAATCGGACAAGGAGTGATATACACCCAGTCAGAAGCACTGATGCCCTTAAACTGCCCCACTCACTAGGGACATTTGACATTATGAATGTGCGATGGGTGCAAGCTGCCCCAAAAGGTTAATCAGCCAAAAAGCCTTTGCATTTGAGTTGATATAAGTACACTACAATTTTAAAAAATTATATTTATAGTGTCGTAAGTACCTTGGGAAAATGCATTTCCCACAGTCATGGAAAACCTAGACATTTTGAATTATAAAATTAAAATTTTTCAGACCTGGAATACTCGTTAAAATGTATAAAATAGTATAGTGGATATACGTATTTCAAGCTGTGTTGCGCAGTTCCTTGACCAGTAATTAATCATGTGACAATCGCTATAAAAATACTTCTTTAAATGACTTATTCACTGATTACAAACAACATGGAAATGAATTCGTCAGACGCTGTTGAAACCCTAAAAAAAGACCATTTGTGATGACTGTTTACATCTGTTTCACACTGCAATTTCTTTTTAGTTGTTGGGCAGTCTACTTTAAGCAGCTGTGGCAGTGCCAAGGCGTTTCTCAACTAAGACAGTTGAAATTATACAGTAAAATGATCTACCTTTTCAAAAACATCTAGAAAAGGCGATGCACGGGGTACTTTGGTGTTTTTGTTTTTGGTCTATTCTTATTCAAAATGATGGATTAAAAAGCCTCTTACCAGTCACCCTGTTTACAAAACAATAGCTAATGTGGACAATACAATAAATAATTTTCTCAAAGAAAGCATAATTGAAAGATGCAGAAAGTTATCAATGAGAATTCAAAGCACAGCATCAGCAAAAGTATAAAGTCTGTTGTTCGTTTCTTCTGGTGGGGTTATTGGGTTCATGGGGATGAAATGGAGGCTGATTCATGCATTGATCTGAGACTATTTTTTAAGATGGTAGGGACGTATGCCTATGGCAGCGGAGCCAGTGCTCACCTATCAAGCTCCGCCCTTCCCCCACCCATCTTCCCCTGCTGCACTTTCCCCTGTAAATTATAGCAGCACTTTAGCTAATGAAAGAGTTGAAGTCCGGGCACTAATAAAAGCCATTAAGTGAATAAAGCGCTTCCCCCTCTAACAAAATTAAAGAATTTGCCCCCTCCTCAAGAGGGAGGACTCTGTATTAATATTTATGAATTGCAGAACTGGACCCTCTACCCCCTCCCAATGACGCGTACCCTGGCCCACACCACCCAACTTCTCTTCGGCAAACCACCTATCCTGGGTGATATTGTGCGACCCCCCCACGGGGCGGAGGGAGGGGCGGAGTATGGGGGTGTTGGAGGAGAGACATCCTGGACAGTTTGCCTTCAGTTCGGCTAACAGGTCCAGTCCAGACACCCAGCTCAGAACAGCAGCTCTCTCAGATGATCTTAGTCGCCGATGAAGCGAGAGGCATTGGTCTCGGCTTGAAGATTTGCCTTGAGGACATCCATCCCTGTGGGAACCTGTTGGAAGGTCCTCTACAAGACCTCTTGTAGATGGTCCTTTTCAAGATTGGGGTGAGAGTCCTAAATGCGTAAGTTGATTATTGTCTTAACCGTTCTTCTTTTCTTCTCACAGAACTCCTTAGAACAGTTTCAGTGCACTCTAGAAATTTCTTTTGTGCCTTTTGGACAAGTCTCCTTCAAGGTAACAAATTTTCCAAGAGTATTGTGCAAGAGGGGGACAAAATACACTACTACTGAACGAACTGGGTAAGATGTAGCATTTGCTCCAAATAGTCAGAGGGAACTGATCGACTGGTCGAAGAATATAGGCTAAGACAATTCCATTGTCCCTTCATATTTTATGAATTGTTCATTCTGATCCTCATCCTTTATTCTCTACCACCATCTCCAACATAATCCTTAATAATGTTTGTTTCCTCCCATTTCATCATGCTAAGTGGTTCAGTTGTCCGACCTTTAGAGTTGATTAGCGCACCCAAAATCTCCCATGGGGCATGGCAAGTATGGGGTAATATGATTACCACCCAGATGGATGGGCAGAATCTAGGCAGGTTTTTGGAAGAGATACTCTAGGATACCTTGGGAAGTGTTACCACAAGAGGTTTTGCAGTAACAAGTTAAGAATTGGCCCTAAGGTCCAGATGTTGTGGGATAGAAGACATTGGCTGTGATGTTGTGGGATATTGGCTGCGAAAGAAAAGGACATTGGTGGTCTATTTTTATTTGCCCATAGAGCAGTCTATTTGAGCAAGTCAAGAAGCTAGGGAGCTAAGACAACCACTGGTTCAACAAACTCTATTTCTATAGATTTTTGAAAACCTCTGAACAATTGAATGACAGCAAACTCATTTGATTACCAAACCACTCTCGTTTGTTAACCCCCCCATTCTGGAGTTCTCTTGAGTTCCATTTCATTATTCTACTGAAATTTGAGAAAATTGACAGTGTTGTCGACTGGTCATCAGGCATAGGTACTGGGGAGGTGTACGATTTTCGGAGAGGGTGGGGTTTGACGCAGTTTTTGCGCAGGAAGGGCGGTGCCTGCGAATCTCTGCAGTGAGAACGTGACCTATGACTAATCTTTTTTTCTTTTCTTTTTTTCTTTTGCAGACATCCTAAGTTGCAGTCTATCACAAACACCTTTTCCGCCCGTCTCCCATTGTGTCACTCTCGATAATCACCTGCAACAACCTCTACGATACTGCTCTTTTCGATTTCCAGTAACTTCCAGATTTTTGAAACCTGAATACAGTCTTTTTGAGAATAGATACAATACCTAAGGATGGCTGAAGAAGACTCTCGATGACAACGACTTGACCTTTTGATGGTCTTTTTCAATTACCTTTACCCAGTGATCTCTGACTTTGTGGTTCCACCTTGCGTAGACTTACAGCCTTGACATGTTCCCAGACGACCCTCATTGCATTCTGCATGATTTTAAACAGCATTTTAATGTCCATGGATGGTTCCGTCCTGTCTTTTGTGACTGATCCACAACTTGAACAAGTTTCTGCTGACTTTGACTTTGCCCAGGACACCATTGTGCTTGATCTAACCATGCAGTTCCCTTTCTGTCCATGGTTGTGCCAAGCACTTTGGAGACTTGTGTGCACTTTCAACCAGGTTTTTCTTCTTGCTGTTCTTTTCCTCTTAGATCCACAATCTGAAGAATCAAACCTTATGTATCAGAGGAATCCAACCTTGTCTGTGTAAATTTCTTGTCCCAAACAAGAGTATTTTAAAGAGAATAAAATGCATTGTGTTGTTTTGTTTGATGAGTCTGACATGATCATTACGACTAGAAAAAGGAGTGCAACAAGAAATGCCAAGCCGCACTTCCTCAGCAAAGCTGATGCCATGGCTTCACATATTTCTTTCTTCATGTCCTTTCAATTTACTCATATACCCTATTGATTTAAGAAGTAAGAAAGCTGTAACCACCATAAACATAAAGACATGTACCCAACCCCCAATATTCAGAGTAGCGCTCAATCCACGCAGGGTTAGTTTGTAATCAGTTTTTTCTTCAATTTTTTTTTACAATTGGCATTAAAGTAATGGAAAATGTCCAAGTCCAGTTGCAACCTTATTCATCATAAGAAAATGTATGGACAAATTCTGCACATCAGTCACCGTTTTCACTACTGAAACATAAATATCTGACTGTAAGACAAAAAGACTTTAGTAATACAAACCTTGCTCGAGTAAATGCAATCTTAGATGCAGTCGGGAGGTCATGATGATGGGTGGCGCTCACTGCAGAGCTGCACTTACAGTCAGTCTCTAGATGAATGAACCACTCTGTTTTACCGTCGGAGGTCATGTTAGGTTGCACTGCTCAGCTCCAGTCATTTTTTAAGTAATGGACTCCGCACAGGTATTGTGTCATCTGTTTGCCTGTGCACAAGTGTTGTATTTATTGAATCTTTGGAGATTCGATCTCTTCACGAGATCTGCTCACATTTTATAATTATTTATAGCACCTTATGAAGATTTTGAACACTGATTCACTGAGCGGTTTTAAAAAGATGCATAACAACCATAAAATGGATGGATGAATGAATTTCTAACTATGAATGTAATCAATCGATAAATGCTACAGAAATCCAGCCAATGAAAATGCACTGTAATTGAAGTACAATCATGACTACCATTATGTATTCCGTCACTATATATACACATACTCAAGTCAGTGGTCTAGGTGTAAGGTGCACATTGAACAGGAACAACAGTAACATACAGAACTTGACTTGTACATTTACTTTTAAAAGAGATCCTCAGTGGTGTTTGCATGCTGACACAATGCTAGGGTATAACTTGAGGCTTTGCTGTAATTTGTTAGCAACTTATTTCGATCACTAACCTTCAATATGAGCAATGATAATACTGATAATACTACTTCGCAAACACCATTAATAATGCATATCTAGACTATTAAATAAATGCAATCTATGAAATGTTATTGGACTTTTATTCTGTTGTTCCCAGAAGTGGCTGCATATGATTAGAAGCTATTAAAACATCAGATTTACTGACCTGTTTTTGAAGGTCACAGACTTCCATACTATGCCTACACATTAATAAAAATGAAACAAGACTCGGAAATGAATTCAAATTATTTTATTGTCACCAATTAATGAATTAGGTGGTTCATTTTCACATTAGAGCAAAAACAAACTCTCATGCTTCTGGCGTCTCCATCATTCATTCATACATACACTATTTCACTTGAGATTACAGTACAACACTTCTAGTTTAGATATTAGAAAAAGTGAAAATGCTATCAAGCGCATTAAACTGCAGTTGGGTTTTATCATGATGCTTTGACTAAAATCCTAAGCAGAGTACAGTCAAACACCAAGAAAATGCACTTTTTTAGTACACTAGTGAATATCTGAGATTTAAATGTGATGTTTAGATGAAATGACAGAAAACATTGAATGTGCTCAACAACCATATTCAGGATGGGTGGACAAAAATGTAAATTGCCTGGGAATAAATTAACACTGTTATTTTTGGGAAACAGAACAAGATATGACACTGGGATATTTGTATGCATTAAAGAGCAAAAAAAATAAAAAAAAGTTTAGTTATGCTCTATTAGCAGACAACATAATTTCAACCTGCACCTCAGTTCATAAAAATAAACAACTGAGGTCCAAATCAAAACTATCTGTGGTAATCGACAACATGCCACAAATGTTGTCAGTAGAGCTTAACTATATCTATATATAGATATAAACCTGAAATATTCCTTATTGACAATACCCTTTGACTGACCACTGTGAACAATAGTTTTAAACATGAAACAAAATCATAGAAAACCATGATCGCCATAGCCTTAAAACATTTATTTTTTATAACAAAAAGAGTACTGGGATGTAAACAGGGCACTGCTATCTAGGTGCTAAACACACAAATACATTTAGGCCACGTCTTTTTATGAACCTTAACAAAATGGTGCAATGAGTATTCTGACTAAACCTCAGTTCATAAAAATAAACAACCGAGGTCCAAATCAAAACTATCTGTGGTAATCGACAACATGCCACAAATGTTGTCAGTAGAGCTTAACATCTATAAACCTGGAATATTCCTTATTGACAATACCCTTTGACTGACCACTGTGAACAATAGTTTTAAACATGAAACAAAATCATAGAAAACCATGATCGCCATAGCCTTAAAACATTTATTTTTTATAACAAAAAGAGTACTGGGATGTAAACAGGGCACTGCTATCTAGGTGCTAAACACACAAATACATTTAGGCCACGTCTTTTTATGAACCTTAACAAAATGGTGCAATGAGTATTCTGACTAAATTAAAGAAACAAGGACATAGTAACAAAAAAAAACGGAGGAATTAATTTCATATGGAACAAAAGTAAATAGGACTCTGATGTTTACTTACACCTTCAATAAAGAACAGATATTCAAAACAGAAACTCGCATGGTTGATTATATGGATGTCATAATCAACTAACTCAACAGTGCGTCTTTGGGACCATTCACACTTGAAGTGCAACATTTTAAAAAAATGCCTGTTTAGTTAACAATCATGTAACAAAAAGTGTCATGCCATTATCAAGTCCTAACCTCATTCAAACAGAGGACATCTGGATGTCATAAACGAGTATACATTTGCACACATTCACCAAATAAAATCTGACCTTGGGATTTGAAAGATCTGTTTTCATTTCAAATGTTTCTCTGCAGAGACCATAAACAAGAAGCGGATACAAACAAAAGTCAACGTGCATGTACCTTAGATGATTTACATACTTTTTTCCACTGACGTGCTTCTGTATCTGTAACTTCACTGGTGTGTTATGACACACATCAGTATGAAATAAAGATCAAACGATGGGATGCAGACCAAACAGGACCAGAATTTTGATTGAATTTTTTACAACTTTTTTTTAAAAGTATAAACATGTATAACACAGACAATCCCATCAGAGTGGATTCCCAATCACAAAAAACACCCCCAAATTTTTTGCACAAAATCCATCCTGCAGTGAGTTTGTATGCAGACGTATGCACCGTCCTTTCACTTTCATTACAACGTCAAATCACAGTGTCCTCATTTGCTGGAGTTCAGAGTAGAAAAGATGTTTTAGACTTTTTAAACAGCCCTAGAGCGCAGGAGGAAGCCAAGCCTGACCGTGAGGATGCTGCGGTTGGCATAAGACAGTTTTGGTGATCCTGTGAAGGCTGTTTGGGTTTTACTGGCAGTGAACATTCACACGGTAAATGAGGACGATGGTGAGTCGATCTGGTTCTGCTCAGATCAGTTCATTACAGCATAAACTGGAAAAAACAACCACAAAGTGAAAAAAAAAAAGTGGCTTTGCACACAAACTGCTTTCTGTAGTTGAAGCTGGTGGGGTGTTTACATGCTCTCCTGTTGTTTTTCAGCATCTCAACAGCATGATTGATTCTGATGATCGTGATGTAAATGCAGAGTGAAAAACTGCTTTGGCAGGAGAATCTACAATTAATAAATGCCATTATTTTGGCTCATCTCAGCAGATGTACCCTACAAAAAGTAAGAGGAAGCAAACTAACAGCATACAAAATAGGGGACGTGAGCGCTCAGTAGGACAGCTAGTACAGGACTGGTCAATGGCATAGATAATTTTGGGAATAAATGGTTCGGATTTCTTTGTGGCTTCAATTAATGACCCCATAAGTGAAAAATGCTCTGTTCTGGATCATTTTACTACTGTATATCAATCGCTGTGGCCAGATGCTCAGGCGTAGATCTGACTTGGGTCTCCGGTGTGAGCGTTGTCAGCTAGTCGTTCTTGGGTGGGTTGGGTAGGTTTTACGATGCTGACGTAATCGTGGACACTGACGTCCATGTTTTTAGCTCGGAGAGCTGCGGTGTGAAGCTTCTCCAGGAAGTCTGGCATGCCTGTGGGACAGAGAGGAAGTGAAATGTGAGTGAACAGGTGTCAAGAAACAGCAGCTGCAGAAAGGGCAGATTTCAAGGACGACTTGCACGATGGCAGCCAATTCATCTTTGATACTAACATGAGTACAGTTGTATTCAGCAATAATGACAGTCCAACTGGAAACACACTAGGGTTGGGCGATGTCTACCAAATTGGCATCGGTCAATGTCTACAGTGAAACATCGCAATGGACGATGACATCGGGTTGCGCAAAACCGCGTTCATAATCGCAGACGATATCATCGATATTATAAATTGATATTATGAAATCGCACTGCAAATGTTGTTTGCGTAGCTTCTCAGTGAACTACGGCTCTGTGTAATTATACACAGATATTATTAGAAATTATAATAAGAACTCAGATAAATCATATATTGTCGTAGTCATGTGTTTATTAGTCACGTTGAATCAATGAAAGCAGTTAAATCTTCTGTTTATTTAGCTAAGACTATAGGGATTTCCTGGGTTTCTTCTGCAAGGTGTATTTGGAGTTTCCACGCGAGAGCGCCCTCTGGCCTTTGGATGGAGGTTTACTACTGATCACAGAACCGTGCTTCACTGACAAGATGCACATGACTATCGCAGCTTTTCCCTAATATCGACTGTGTTATCATTGCGATTTATCGTGCAGCCCTAATTATCATGTTGAAAACGGTTGTGCTGCTTCATATTTTTGTGGAAACCGTGACACATTTTCATGACTCTTTGATAAATAGAAAGTTCAAAAGAACATAATTTATAAAAAAAAAAAAAAAAACTTGTTATATTATAAATGTCTTTACTGTCACTTTTAATCAGTTTAATGCATCCTTTACATTTATGTCCTGTAAATTCTCTCAATTCCCTCATATCAGCACTGCCAGATCATTTTCGACCCTGGATCCAACCCACTAAAAAAACTCTCAATTAATATTTTTACAGTCCAAATAGGAGCACATATCACAAAACAAAATGTGAGTGCATAAGACAGGGGGCTCACCACTAGACACCATCCAGCTGACGCAATAGCGAGGGAAGACCGTCTGAGGATCATCGCTGTAAGTCAGCAGGTAATCAAAGCCATTCTGTTGAGACAAGATAACTAGCTTAAGACGGCAAACCAATACCAACCGGAGACAGAATGACACACAGGAGATTCCCTATTCGCACCTCGTCAAATGACCTGTGTGGGCGGATGACCATCTTGGACTGGTAAGAGTGAACTCGGACAAACTCCTGGGTTTCTGGGACACTGGGGTGTCTGACGGCTCTGAAAAGAGAAAGGCGGCACACTTAATATAAAGGACACGCTTCAACCAATTAACACTAATTATAATGTCACTAAATAATGCCTATAAAATGGCACCAACAGTTACCTGGAGACTAAGGTCATTAAGTTATTCTCCATGTCAACATGATACCGGCGCACGTAGACATAGTCTCTGGAGTACATGGGATACTGCATAGGAAAGGTCAACAAATTATAACATCAATGACTATTAAACACTGTAAATACTAACAGGCATGTTGAAGTAGCTGTTAAGAATGTACATTTATTCTATATATAAATACTTATGTAAAATACCCTTTACTTAGATTTTTAAGCCAATCTCTTTGCATGCTTAAAAAATAAAATGTCAGTCTATTAGGATTTTGAAGTTTTGTAACTTCTTAAATAAGGAATTCTTTAACAATGCAAATAAATCCAGCATGGCAGTTTGATGAAACACGACAGAAAGAAGATTAAGCTTAACGGCTTTTAAATCTTCAGTCAACTAGTACTAGATTACACTTCTGTTAATTCGACTCAGGCCCACTCACTGCCCATTGCAAAAATCACAAGGACGTTTTTTTTGTCATGACAGCATGCAGAGGAGAACTTGATTCAGAGCTTACTGGAAAATGCGTCGCCCAATGAATGACCTCGGTGCCCGTGTTGACGTCCCTGTCCACCATGTCCAGTTTGATAACCAGCGCGTCCCACTTCTTTCTGTACTCTGTGTCCAACTGGAGTAAAGGGAAATATTTGGGAGTCTAAATATAACATTCAAATACCAACAGCAGATACCAACCACATGCATACACACCAAGTTATGCCTGAATCATGTAACTGGGTTGCCAACTCTCGCATTTGGCGTGAAACACAGATGCAGTCTCAGGCCACCACACTACATCTCACACCAAATAACAAGACAACACAAAATGCATCTGAATGATGCTTTCTTTGCATTCTTTCAAATGCATTTGAATTACCCAGATTTACCTAGCCTTATCGCCAAATGACTACAGCCCCATTGACTCCCACTGCCAATGCATTGATGAAATTAACAGTTGGATGTGCCAGAACTTTCTTCAGTTAAACAAGGAAAAAACTGTCATTGCATTTGGAAACAAAGATGAAGTTCTCAAGGTGAATGCATACCTTGACTCTAGGGGTCTAACAACTAAAAATAAAGTCAGGAATCTTGGTGTGATTCTGGAGACAGACCTTAGTTTCAGCAGTCATGTCAAAGCAGTAACTAAATCAGCATACTATCATCTCAAAAACATTGCAAGAATTAGATGTTTTGTTTCCAGTCAAGACTTGGAGAAACGTGTTCATGCCTTTATCACCAGCAGGGTGGACTATTGTAATGGTCTCCTCACCAGCCTTCCCAAGAAGACCATTAGACAGCTGCAGCTCATCCAGAACGCTGCTGCCAGAATTCTGACTAGAACCAGAAAATCTGAGCATATCACACCAGTCCTCAGGTCCTTACACTGGCTTCCAGTTACATTTAGGATTGATTTTAAAGTACTTTTACTCGTTTATAAATCACTCAATGGCCTAGGACCTAAATACATAGCAGATATGCTCACTGAATATAAACCTAACAGACCACTCAGATCATTAGGATCAAGTCAGTTAGAAATACCAAGGGTTCACACAAAACAAGGGGAGTCTGCTTTTAGTTATTATGCCGCCCGCAGTTGGAATCAGCTTCCAGAAGAGATCAGATGTGCTAAAACATTAGTCACATTTAAATGCAGACTCAAAACTCATCTGTTTAGCTGTGCATTCATTGAATGAGCACTGTGCGATGTCCGAACTGATTGCACTATATTCTATGTATAATCGTTTTCTTAAATTCATTTTAAACTTCTTAAATCAATTGTTTTAATCATTTTCAATGTTTTTAAATTCCTTGTTTTATTGTTGTGATTATTTTTTTTCTTTTCTTTTATGTAAAGCACTTTGAATTACCATTGTGTATGAAATGTGCTATACAAATAAACTTGCCTTGCCTTGCCTTGCCTATCTCTATCTATCTTTGTGTATGAAATGTGCTATATAAATAAACTTGCCTTGCCTTTCTCCAGTGCATAACTTATATTTTACTCTTTATTCTGTAAACATTATGAGTCACATGCATATTCCCATTGTGTGAAACGGTCACAATATCTAAGTGCATGCAGGTCGTGTTAAACTTCAAAGATGCGCATGTATGCATATCAGATAGGAGTGCAACAGAATAAAGAACGCAATAATTTAGATTAAAATATTATGATTTTCACCAAATATTTGTTGCTGAACATCAAATTTATATAAGGAAGTATATATAGGAACAGTAACTGTAATGAAATCTTATAAGAGTTCCCTACATTTACAGGAGAAATAACAACAGTAACATGTTATTCATGTGTTCAGAAGAGTAAATGTGTGCCAGCAGAACATCTGACCATTGAGCTGGTAAAACTGTGTTTGTTTTTCTTAATTATGTATAATTTAGTGATTTTAAATGGTCTTGCTTGCTTTTTAAATTATTAGACATATGACTTGCTCGTCCTTCTCAGGATATACTAGGAAGATAAACAGCACGCAATTGAGTGTTGAAAAGTTTCTTTAAAATAAAACAGTGTATTTTGTAGAAAATTAACCTTAATTATTAAGATGAAACTAAAAATGAATGGTTGCATCCTCAAAACCTCATATAGGTGCCTGTGACTGGTTCAGACCATGTCATCAAAATCTCACTCCAGCCAGGTAACCAAAGCTGCCAACCCTGCATGTAAGGCTTTGGAAGCTTGAACGGATGTAGTTTTACTTTGTCTTGCTGTAATAATTGGGAGTTTAATATTAAGTCAATTATTTAGTACCTGAACATTGAAGAATTGCCGGGGGGTGACATCTGTATATGAACCAAACACTGTAAAGAGAGAACCAGTCATGTAAATCCATTGTTTGAACAGGACTGGACAAAGTCACTTTGATGATCAGTTACATTTGATATGAAGGGGTCCTTCAAAGTGCATGTGCCATTGCAAAGATACCCTTTTCACAAAGCCATTCAAGTCTCACATGAATTTACAAAAATGTATTTATTACTAATGAAGGACACAATAAATACATGCTATTATAATTTAAAACGTACCTCTGTATTCAAAAAGATGGCTACCCTGGATGGGTCTCCTCCAAACTCTGACGTTTTTCTTCTCCACGACCACCTCCCAGCCTGGATCCGCATGCACGGCTGTCGTTGGGTTCACATTTTGGCTTCTCACCGACTCCAGTGCCTGCAGCTCCCATGCACACCTAAAGCACAAGTTCAGACAAGTTGCCTTAACCACAATAAATGCATAAACAAGAAGATAAAATGATACCAAATGTGTTAAATAAGTTCAAATAACATTTGGCTAAATTGCGCCTCTCCCCTCATCAAAGCCACGCCCTCTAACAGCCAATCCGATGCCATAACACCTAAACGTGAAAAGTGATTGACAGCTAGAGAGCGTTTCTGACTGGTTAATAGAAGGGAGAGGCAAGAGGTCCTCGCTGCAGCCTGTAGCACGATGACGTAGCTGGATCAGATCCAATACGTATTGGATTTGACGAGCATGCGCAGTATTGGATTTTAATGCGCATGCGCAAAGTGGGGCTGTCATTGAAGCTGGTATTTAATGTAAATTAAACCGTAATTATTACGAGATATAGGCCTAGGTGTGTTTCATAGGCTTACACAAATTATATTATACTGTGATTTTAAACTAGTAGTGTATTCAAACTTTATTTAAGCAACGATGGCGTAGTTTTGAATGAAAGAGTTTGGTATGTAAGCTATGTTTATTTTTTTATTAGTTTGATTCGTTTTAGAAATAAAACTCTACTAATTACAATTTTGTTTGTTCTTTATGAAAAAAATGGGGTATAACTAAAAGCGTCTGCAAAATGATAAAATGTATTTATTCGAGACCTACTACAGCGCATGCGCGTAAAATATCCACTACGTAGTGGATATAGTCCAGCTACGTCATCGTGCTGCAGGGAGGACAAACTCGGGAGAGGCGCTATCTGACCTGCACAGTTAAGGCCCGTTTGACAGCAAACGCTTAATATCAGATAATAGCGGTGTCTTGTTTCCAAAATTACAAATAGCACCATATAAACAGTCCAGAAGTGAGGAAAGTACCTTCTCAGCTCATCATCTCCAATCTTCTCGTCTTCCCACATGAAGACCCCAGCCAGTGCTGCTATGAGTTTTCCAGTGTGGGCATGTTTGCTCTGCAGGCGCCGCCATATGTTGCCCACGAGTGTCCACCTGCTCCTCTCAGAGTACAGGTTCGAGTACAGCTCTCCTATCTGAAGGGCCCTTCTCAGCCTCTGGCCCGTCACAAAACTACAATGGTTGGCGAATATAGACAACAGTCTCTCCTTCTTTTTGTCGGAGGCCAGCTTGTTCGTTCCCCTTCCTGCTTTTTGGATCCATGACACCAGCAGGCCCACGCGCTCACCCAGCCACGACAAACTCCACGATTTGCTATTTATCGCACCACTTGGTTTAAAAGTGCTAAAGCTTTGCAATCGGACAGCTCTGGCCCCTATACTGCACACGGGGCGATGCTGGACGGAGGGGAACATCTTTGTTTCTAGAACCACGACTCGATGATTTCTAGATTTGGCTTTGAAGTACACTTTAATGCGCCCTGAATTAGCTAAAAAACAAAGATTTACTATACAAATTAGTTCCCATGTATTGATAGGACTGGGACAAGTGCAACGCAATGTCAAGTTAACATGCACTAGCGATTATCTTGCAAAATAGTTAACGACAGGTTTTAATGGACAACTAAAATGCACGAGAGCATAATCAATCATTTTTTTCGTATTCTAATCTCATATTATGAGACGCTATCATAGTAATTTACTAGATAAACAAACAGTTCGACATTTGCGAACAACTGCAATAACAGATCAACTGACGAACGTAGTTACGTTAGTTAACTTAGCTAGCCAACATTCAATGACATGCGACCGCGAGCAAACTGCGATTAAATCAACGAAAACAACTCGTATGTTTTCAACGGTATGTCCTACCCGGTATTTTATGACAGCTAAACTGATTTTCGTATTCCTATCGTTAAATTAATCTTACGTTTATCCTCCTGCGTTAGCTTCATGCCCTCACACCTCTCTAGTGGAGTGCGAGTTGCGTCAAACGTGACTATTGGCCACGCCCTTCTCAGTTTTTACGAGTTTCTATTGGCTGTCTCTTACGTCGAGGATGCGCCTCTCATTCTAATAGGGTAATAAGGCTGTCTGTCTTCATTGGTCGCCACCCTGGATCAACCAGCATGTTCACATGCCTCACCTTAAATCAACCCATGGTAAAGGTCCTCTACAACTATAAGGTTAAACAGATTTACCACGTGTCTAGTCCGTGCTGTAAGTACACATATGTACACTATCAGTCAGAAGTTTGGACACACCTACTAATTATTTATTATTATTATTATTACTACCACATTTTATTATTCGTCATATTTTGGAGTAGTAGTTAAGTAATAGTTATGTAAGTAAATATTAAGTAATATATTTTGTAAAATTCATGCGTAGACAGTCTATATTTTTCTACTAAACTTCAGGCATTTACTATCCATCCATCCATCCATCCATCCATCTATCTATCTATCTAGATATATTGATTCTTGTCTTTATTAGTTCAAGTGGGCAATAAATGTCCTATCCAGTGTTAGGCAGTTACTAGTAAATAGTTACAGTAATAATATTACTTTTTGCATAACTAGTAGTGTAACTAATTACTAATGAGATTTCAGTAATAATATTAGTTGCCATGCATAAAACAGCTCGTCACTTAGTTACTTTTGATGACACAACTACTGATTTGAAGTCCAACAATCCAATAATTCATAGATTTATATTAATAATTTTCATGACTTGCACAGGCAAATTAAGTCACCAGTGAAGCAGGCAAGCTTGGAATATGAAAAAGCTTACATTCAGCAAATGGAAATATTGGCATTACATAGATTTTGTCAAGAGAAAATATGATCTAAACACTTATGTGTAAGTTGTGGCATTACATGGCTTGCCCACCCACATCCCTCTGATCCTGATATAAATTGTATTACTAGAATTAAAAAAAACTTTTTTAGAAAACGAAACATTTTCTTATGAACTTTGTGAATTCTTTTGATAAAATACATTATGAAATATAACACAATGAGAATAATACAACACTTTTACTTAAACGTTAATATCAATCTTTTACAAGTGTTTGTAATAACTTCTGACTGTGATCTAGTGTGGATTTTGGTAAAATGATGAGGCAGAAATATATTGTTAGTAACATTTTGGAGGAATATTTGGGGAAGATACGCAATTACAACTTCTGTGGGGCATGAAAGAAAAGTAATGTAGCCTAACTAGTAGTGTAAAAATATTTATTGTTGCCAGAAAGTAGTAAGTAACATAATAATATTACTTTTGAAAGGAGTAATTAGTAATGAGTAATAAATTACATTTTTTGAGTAACTAGCCCAACCCTGGTCCTATCTGAAGCACAAAAATCCTATGCTCCTGAAGAGAGAAATACTCCATTGAGGTCACTTTTTTTCTGTGGCCACATGGGGGAGTTATAGCACAGCGTGCAGGAATTGAAGCATCACCTTCATAGAGTTTCATCTCAGTCTATCTCATGACTTCCCATAACCCAAGAGAGGAACTGAAGAAAATTAGAGTCACAGGGGATACAAATAAACAAGAAACGCCTTTGAAATCTGACAGTACAACACATGACTATTAATAATCACTAACAGACAACATTTAGGTTTAGGACAACAATTCAGTTTTATCTTTATATATACACAATGAGTATACTTTGTCCCATTCTTTAATAATTAAGAGACTGTATTAAAGAAACAGACTACACATATAGATTTAGATATAACACATTTCTGAATATATATATGTTCTCCTTTTTCTAAATCTTTTTTTTTCATATATAGTTTTATTTTAATTCTCACATGTCAGAGAAAATAAATACCAAATCAATTATGAAATTCCAAAACAAATGACTCAATTACATTTAGCCTACAAAAAGAACATTCTTTAAACATTTGAAGTGAAGTATATTTGGAGTAGATGCTGTGTAGTCTTAAATGAATATTTGAAATGCCTGGATTCTACAGATTTTGCATTTTCCAGATTGTATAGTTACAGAGTAGTAGTAATGCTCGACAAGTCTAAGGTTAAGTAGTCTTTTTTTTTACTACCATTGCCAAATAAAACCAGAGGGCGGGGTTTGTCTTTTGACGTCACTATCCACCGAAGACAGCCCCGCCCTCGCACTCGGATGATATATGTCTTGCGTGGACAAGCAGGAACTCATCATCTGGAGCCGGCTGAAAGAGGTTTATTGCGATTTTTTCATTGATTCAAGAGCTTAACACAACTAGCAGTGTCTTGTTTGTAGTCTTAAGCTTTGAATTTACTTCATTTACCCGACGTTAGTGCTTAGGAAAGAGCGAGAGCATTGACTGTCTTACCCCGCGCGCGCGGAAAGCGGTTACGGGAAGTTGACTGGGCGGGCTACAGTGTCAAAAATATCTAAATCGACATTTATCGACGGTTTCCTTTGAGTGGTGAGTAAAAATATATATTTTTTAGTTATTCTAGTTGGCAGTGAGTGATATTTGTCTTACTTTCTCATCGACGTTTTTCCTTTGGCTTATTTAAACGGTTAGAATGAGCGCGAGCTCGTGGCTTTGTCAGCTGACTCGCGATGTTTAAACGTGGAAAAAAATGCCAATGTCTCTTTACGGTTAGTTAACAACACCGTGTCACTGATACATGCTGTTTTATGTGTAAAGGATTTATTTTTTGGGGTATTGGTATTTTAATAAAGCGGTTGTGATTAATAACGTTAACGTTATATTATCTGTTAGCGGGCGTGAATGAATGACGACACGTGTAGTGCGGAGCCGGTGTTCTGACGAACAATGCTAACGTTACCTATCAGATTATGCGACCAACACCGTTTTTATCCTACTGTAAGGGTAGGTGTACATGTTAATAAAGCCTCACACCTTGTTAATATGCTGGAAGCTAAATCTGATAGGTAGCACTTTAAGCTATCGAATAACGTTAATGCTACCATCTGTTTTAATGGGAGGTAGTAAAATCTGACAGGGTAGCACAAATCGTCAGAACACCGGCGCTCTCAGAAAAAGGTGTACATGTTAATAAAGCCTCACACCTTGTTAATATGCTGGAAGCTAAATCTGATAGGTAGCACTTTAAGCTATCGAATAACGTTAATGCTACCATCTGTTTTAATGGGAGGTAGTAAAATCTGACAGGGTAGCACAAATCGTCAGAACACCGGCGCTCTCAGAAAAGATGGATATTGCCTTGTTAACCTAAAAAGCCCTACAACATTTTTATATTGAAATAGTGTAAGATTTTATTTTCCATTAATATCAACGAATTGTAACTGCTTAAAGCGGTCGTTTTTATGGTTGTTCTCGAGTAAATTGGTTCCTCAAGCTAACGTTAGCGAGGAAGTGCGTGTCTAGCGCGAGCGGGGAGAACTGGCTCAAACAGCCCTAGAGTGACAGTCAACCGCATTTCATCATTTATTTTCTGCGTTTCTTTGCCAATAAATTCTGCATTGCAGGAATGTACTGGAAAGCCACATGACACCGATGCGCTGACGGCTTAATTTGAATAGTAGTCGCTGTTTGTTGTCACAGAGCTTAAAATATTAACCAAAGCGCTGCCTTCTCGGGCTTGTAAAACAAAGTGGCCCGATTGACTTTGATCACTGTTTTTGTAGTGCTACATATTGTGACCTTGAACGTATTGGCTTGATTATTGTAACCAAAAAGCCATCGGTTTTAGTTAATGCGTAATCAGTTACCATATAGTGTATAGATGTTATTTTAAAGAGTTTTGTTGTATGATCATGCATGCATGCATTCTGTCTGTTCTCGATGCGCACCCTTTTTTGTACAGTGAAAGAGTTTTCTAGAGACCTTCAGCTCTGCAATATGCAAAAAAAGTACTGCTAGTACTAGGCCTGTCGCAATAATCAATATATCGACTTGTCGCGCAATATATGTACATGACCTCAATAATTTTTGGTGACGCAATATATTGCCCATTATAAGAAAAGAAGGTCAGGAAAAAATCTGTAAATGGAAAAATCTCCTCAAGTTCTTTGTGCATTTTTCTTTTTTTGTACTTGTTACTTTGCACTTTTTGTTATAATAATATCGCAATTATTTCTGGGCAATATATCATACAACAAAAAGTTGTTATTGTGACAGGCCTAGCTAGTACTGCTTTAGTGTGTAATATGGCGCTTTTCCACTGCATGGTACGGCTCACTTTTGGGGGGTTTTCCACTGGGTACAGTACCTGGTACTTTTTTTTTAGTACCACCTCGGTTGAGGTTCCAAGTGAACCGTACCGTTACCAAAACGTGACGTGTAAACTCTGCTGATCACGGATTGGCCGGAGAGAATCGTCACTACCTGCGTTACTGAACTTGCGACACAAACACAACAGAACCGCTAGATTTAAATCAGCACAGCCAGCGAAGGATCGAACGCAACTGTTTTGAACGAGCGCACCTTTTTTAACAACCAAAAAGTGGCTGTTCCCCCTGTTGAGGAAGTACAGACGTTCCTCTCGTTGATAGCAGAGGAGCGGATCCAGCGAGAGCTTGATGGGGCGACGCGGAATGAAAAAGTTTTTCAGGAGATCTTATTTTAAATGTGTGCTGAAAAGATCGATTCGCGGCTTTTGAGAATCGATATCGAATCGACGTCATTTAAAAAAACGATTAATCGAAAAATCAATTTTTTGCCCAGCCCTAGTGGAAACGGAAACCGTACTGAGCCGTGCCGAGCCGAGTCGTACCACACAGTGGAAAAGCGCCAATAGACTTATGTCCAAGTTCTGGCCCCTCTGCAGTGAAATTGTTGCATAACATGGGAACCTTCCCACTTTCTCCTCTCTTTTTTTTTTCCAGGAATGAGCTACCATTCACCCACCGTGTCTGTTGCACAATGGATGTCCGCTCTGTCTGCCTAATTGCCCAAGCCAAAACAAACTGTAACAGATCTAGTCTATTCAGAGGATAGCAATAGGCCCTCACTCCACCCTCTCCCTTAACGTTAAACATCAGTT